GGGGGGGGGGGGGGGGGGGGGGGCGGCACTGCTGGAATTGACTGATGCATTATTTAATTGGCTCAAAAACGTTTTGTCACAAGGCCTACAATCCTTGCAGTGAGCAGTCTAATAGGTACAAACAACTAAAGGTTTTCTTTATCTTTTATTGTGCTTTATTGAATTCATACATCTTCTTTTTCCATTTAGTGAAATTGTTCCAAGGAATGAATACATACTTTTGCCAACTCTCTGTCTCCTGCTGTATGTGTCACCATATCTCCCAGATAAAAGTGGCTAATTAGCTCTTCTGTATTATAAGGCTAAAATCAAGCCCTAACGTTTCCTAAAATCCAGAAAAGAAAACTTATTTAACAATTATTTATAGTATTTCAAGGCCATATAATGATTATTATGGTTTCTGACAGCATTTTTGTTCACCAGAGATTTTTTCCTTCATAAGATCAACCGCAACAAAAGTTATGTGGGGACTGGGGCAATTTATGTATGGCTACAACATTATTACTGTACATTTTTCTGTTTTTAGTGTAAACATGACCCCATAAGCACACCTATTGCTTTAAACTAAATCATGCATAAATAAAGGATTGTTGTTGTTAGTGAGGGTGGGGGATAGGGTCACTTAATGAAAAAGAGAAAGTCTCCACTCCAGATTTCAGGTCTCCTGAGTCGAGGTTAGCATCTATCACTATGGGAATCAGGTGCTTATTTGTGAATCAAATATCCCTGTCAGCCAGGAAGGCGACCATTTGTATGCCTTTTGAATAGTATGTTGTATGTACTAGCTGCTAATCGCTCTGAAACAGATGTTAAGTCCTGCTTGTCCTGCATGTAAGCTTTTGCAGAATACTTTTGTTGACCATGGATATTGACAGATAACCTTAGGTTGTTAGACGCAATATACCTCTTAACACTAACAAACTTGTACCATGGTTAAGTACATATGTGTACAATGTAACTGCACTTCAGTAAATCAAAACCTTGTTAAATGCTCAATTGTAATAATAAAACATGGTATTACTAATCAGTACATAATTATTTTCTATTTCAATCCCCTCCTAATGTAAAATGCAGCTGTCATATTTCAATGCATGTATGCTCCTCTACTTTCTTTGAACATCCACTGATAGCACGCAGGGAACTTGTTAATTCCAGTAGTGTGATGACTACAACATCTTCACCCTTAAAACTTGACATGGTGTTATGTAATTTAACAGTATAAGTTAATGTTCAGTCTTCTCCCTGTATTTTGTCACAAATAATATATACAAAGACATACACTAAGAAGTATTCAAAATGATGATTTGAATGTTGGCTGCATGTTGCAAATGTAATGGCTCTGTTTGCAGATCATGCTTGAATGTAATGCTTTAGACACATTATTAACTTGTGTATCAAAACAACCAATTGCATGCCGAAGTAGTGAATTTCTCCCTCTATTGCTGGATGAACAAAGCTGTGTTTCAAAAGTGAAGGTTTTGTCCACAATTATGCTGAAGCATTACCTAATCCTTCCTCTCCTCTACCCGGTAATGACCTTTAAATATCAATCCATTACCAGCCATAGTTACATTACAGTTACATGTACATGTGGGGTATTTTGCAGTTTGGGCTCAAAGTAATTACTATTATAATGTAGTTGTCTTCAATTATTTTTCATTTATATGCAGGTAATTCCAGCAGCATCATGTACAGAAGACCACTGAGTTTCATTAGTCACCATATCACCACAAGATAAGCCAAGAACAGTGAAACTTTTATCAAGCAGTCACCCCATGGGACCTGCTCTTGAATCTCAAGACTAATAGTAGAGGTGTCCATTGAATTCATGTTACTTAATGTTAAAAAGGTTTAGAATTCACTGACTGAAAGGCTGTGTGTGTCTGCTTTTTTAAAAATTCAGGTTTTAAATTACTGTGAATATCAAACACTTAAAACTACATAAATTTAAGATGCATCTAATATTATTTTCTTAATGCATTTTTCAATTTTAAAAGTCATTATTGAAGGGCTAGCCTAGCCCAATGCAATCCTTAAACGAATTGGAGTCAATCAGGTACTAATTATGTAATTTTTGAGAAATACATGTAATTATACAAAATTATTAAAGTTTAATTTTTAGTTACCCTTTTCAGTGTTATGTGCATAGCAACTATCTTTCAACATGCTATGTAACCTGGCCTATGTCAAAAATGTAAGCACAACTGACTTCTTTACAGTTGAACTCAACTTTTGGTCATGAAAGATGGATTTATTTGACAACAAACTAAGGCTAGGAGTATCAAAAAAACTTTCTGTGAGAGACAAATCAACTGTTTTAAATTTTACATCTTTTGATTATTTACTGAGCGGTAGCAGCAGCAATTCTATGGGGAGTGACCATTGAGAGCTGATTGGCTACACTAAAATCATTTGTCTGAATTATCCCGTAAATCAGGTAATTAACATGCAAAGTCCACATTTTCATTCATTTGGAGTCATTAAGTATCATTTATTTGTCATGTGTTCTGCTAATAGTAGCATGTCAAAAGATGGCATGTTGAAAGATAGTCGAACGATGTCTCCTACGCATGTGACACTGAAAGCGGGTGTAAAGCCAATTTTAGTGCTGGATGGGTATGTTAATTTTGCTTTATGACTGGCCCCATGGGAAACAGTGAGTTTTGTTTCTCCTAGCCTCAACCCTGCCTTGGGAAGCGTTGAGGGTCTTGCCCAGGGAGGGGGGGGGGGGAGAGGAGGGTGGGTACCTCAATATATAAAAAATGGGGTTGCTCATCATACATGTACCTTTAAGCGGATAAAAAAAAGTGGTTTTGTTACCTGGCCTCTTAGGGTGCTAATAGCCTCAAAGGGTCCACAGTGTGAGCTTTTGTGGTACCCTTTAGAGTATTGAGCCAAAAAAATATGACAGGAGATTAATAATATTGTTGTTTGGTACCTAATAGGGGTGAAAAAAATAAAAGCAACACCTACAGAACAGGATTTTGGTACCTTTTGGGGGTTCTTTTCAACATTTCCAACAAGAACCCCCATCCTTTCTATATGGGAGTGCTTCCCCTGCAAGCCTTGGGGGAACAATCAAAACTGACTGATTCCTGTCAGGCTCCCGGTAGGATCACAACCTTGTCATGGTCGGGGGCTTGTGTCTCAGTGACCCTGAGAGCTATGCTGGTAGGAGATTTTGTTTCCAGGTCGGGCCACCCAAGCCAGACAGGTCAAAGGGAAGAGGCCTGACAAAAAGTGATCCACTACTGGCCCTCCAGGTTTGGGGGTGGAAAACAGGGTTAACAACCCAGTCCCATAGAAAGGTATTTGTTATGGAAGCAGTTTCCTATGGGGCCCAAGCCATTATTAAAGTGCTTTAATTTATATATGTATTATCCCACTCACTGAAAGGTCTTATTTATGTTAAAATGCCATTAAATTAGTAAAATTATTTTAGTCATAACAATTTTGAAATCTTCATGCAGAATGTCCTTCTATGAAATTTGATATTCAAATCAAATAGAATAATAGAATGTAAAATCTTGGAAACCTTCCTGAATATAATTAGTCCGCTAAGTCATTTTCCTAAAATCTGTGACATCCCACTAACTTATAAATGGCTTCATTTCAAGCTAACTGATATATACATACATGTACATATGACAGGGTTTGTATGTGTCCTGGAAAACCTGGAAAGTCCTGGAATTCTATTGTGGCATTTTCCAGGACTGAAAAGTCTTGGAAAAAGGCTGCTGGTCCTGGAAAGTTCTGGAAATCTATTAAACTCAAGTAAAAAAAATCTGAAATGTATGGCTGACAGTAAGGAGAATTAACATTGAGATCTTGGGAGTGAAAGGGTTAATGTGAATTTTAGAGTCCTGGAAAAATCAGTCTGAGTCCTGGAAAAGTCCTGGAAATTTGTCTCTAAAAAACGGTATGAACCCTGCATTGTGAGTGATCCAAAATCTGAAGTTATGCGATTGCCGCTGGCATGATTTTTGTTTTGTTTCATTTAACGAAACAAGAAACGGACAATATTATCCCAATGTCTTTGTCCTCCTTTCAGTCAGTATATACAGAGAGATTTTTCTCAATGACCTAATGTGGAAACCCAGAGAGGCTTTATTAGGGGTTTTTGGGATACAAGATATTTACAATAGGTGAAAAATTAATGCTATTAATTAATTTTGCTATTGGAAATTAACAGAATATTGTATATTTAGGCCAAACATCAATGGAATGTGGGATACACTGACCTTAAATATGCCTACCCCCCCCCCTTTCCCTAATGGGGCATCAGTAGAATTCCAAGTTAATTTTAAATAGAGATTTGTATATGCTGTTTTCAGTTAAAAGCCTTTTTAAAAAGGAGATTGTGGGCAGGAATGGAAGTAACTAGTGTTGGGTTTTCGCTCATTGTTAAATCTTGTTCACTTGGCTTAACTCCGACATTGTGATTTATGAAATTTTGTGAAATAAATAATTTGTATGTATGTATGTGCAGTGTGTATTTATTGATGAACAACTGACGAGTGTTTTCGGTTATTCTTTTTTCCTCGCTAAAACCTTGGTGGTGTTAGGGTTTGTGGGGGGTTGTTTAATCTGTTACACAAAAAAGCAACACTTTTCCCTTAGACTAAGAATTTTACCGACTTGTGGGGACGCAACTTGTGTATATTTTTTACCAACTTGTGGGGACCTCTTAAATGACCCCAGTTATATGGTTTAGAAGCCAAAAAAACAGATTTAAGAGGACTTTTTTCGCGGGGACACGAAAATGTCTCCATAATTTGAACAGACCCCACTTTGCTGGTGTGTATTCATATGAATGTCCCCGTAAGTGTGCAGCGGTGAGCACTGATAGAGTAGCCGAGACCGCCTTACGCGCCTCGTGATTTTCAGCATTTTTTGCTCGATTTGCCGGAACTTGGGAGATATTTTCCAGTCCCAGGGACTCTAAACTAA